CTGCCAAAACTTAACAACTAATAGCCATGTTAACAGAAAAAAGCCACCCACACTTTATAAAAGTAGATCAGTAACTTGCTGTCCTGGAACCAACATCACTTGGGAGCTTATTATAAAAACATAATCTCAGGGCCCATTCTGGACCTCCTGAATCAGAATTTGCATTTCAACTAGTCCCCAGGTGATTCACATGCACAATAAAATGCAAGAAGCCCTGGAGCAGTAACAGGTGCCTTCAAGAATAGTGTGTTCTCTGCATTCTGGTATTTAAATGTGTTTGCCTTTGAAGACTCAGGGAAAGGCACTGGGACTGTTGCAAAAGGAATGAAATAGTGCACTGGGATGTTGATGAACTCTTGGTCAAAATCAGGAAGTAATTTTCTGACGAAGAAAACTGCACATGAAACACTCCGCATTAGAACTAAGTAGACAACCTGAATCTTTTAAAAGGTTTCAAATAAGTGAGAAATGAGTTTTTTGTCTTAATGTCTTGCTCCTTTGCTTGGAAATAAAGTGACTATCTTTTTAAGGAAAGACTACTTCTTTTGAAAGAAATGCACTACCCCACGTGGGGACAAACATATGTTTTATTTGGTTGCAGTTAAATGACCTAGGCGAGGATTTCAAAAGCTTTCTCCTGGTTTCTGTTTTCCATTCCAATCCCAGAGGCAGAGCAAGTATTTGCTTTTAGCATAGTTGACACCCAAGCACGCTCCGCAAATGTTTCCACAAAGCCAGCTGCCGTTTATAGATCACTCTGGGAACTCCTTCAGTTACTAACCCTCGAGCACCTACAACCTCCTATTTGTGGAGGTATTTATAAGACAGGACGGGCTCATGAATCTTCAGATCTTTTGGGGGAGAGTGTTCAGGACTCTGGTTTGAAAAACTTTATCTCTTTGCTCAGAACGTTGGGCTCACCTGAAGACACTCTCTCTTCTCCAGTCTGATCATCTTATTGTATGTAGCCTTAGTGGGGAAAAATCCGCCCCCCCCATACACAAAATCAGCACATCACCTCTGTAGCATTTCTTGGCTAAATATTGTAGGATTGGAAATGCTGAGAAAATTCTTTCCTCCTCTAAAAATCTTCATTGCATTTAGAATGTATTTTTGGAGTGACTTTTCTGTTGATAGATTTTGTGGACACATGAAATGTTCTGTTTACTTCCTTTGCCTTATCACCAGTTCGGTAATGCTTGCTCCCCCGGGGTCTCTCCTTTATCTACCACGGTACCTTATCCTCTCCTCCTTTTAAAAATATAGAGTCCCTGAATGTGTTTAATGACTGACCTTTAAGACGATGTGCTGAATCCATTAAAAGGCTACGGTCAAGCACTCATCTGGAGAATGAAGTTACAAAATTGTCAGTGCAAAGACCTGCTACTGAGATACACTGGACGTACAGGGACTTGATTGTGGATTTAGTTTTTATTCTTCACGCACCTAATAGGTGGTTCAAGTGTGCAGACGTGTGTGCGCGCCTGCGTGTGTGTGCATGCCTGTGAGCGTGAACACAACAAAAACTTGAACCCTGTAGCACGTACCACCTGTTTTCACATCATTGTTGTTACAAAAGGTTTTTTTTTTTTCCCTTTTAATTAGCTGAGCTGTCCTATTTTTCAGTAACTTGCCTCTTCTCTAACATATGGGCTGCAACCGTATTTCTTTTCATTAGACCTGAGTCTTATTTGTCATTTATACCATACTTTTGCCTTTCTCTTTCACTTGCAAAGAAAGAGAGGTTTTCCTATTATTTTAGAGCAAAGCACCTCTGGTTTATGTGGCGACTCTTGTGGCTTTCTAAATGTACTTGATTTAGCTTTCAATGTGTAATTACTGCCAAACAAGTTAATTGCTTTATAAGTGTCCAAAATTCCCTGGATTAATTTTGCTTTCATTTACCAACCTTCATTATACATCCACTGTTCAACATAAACACAAATGATTGTTAATGAATGCCTAATGCCATATTCATTAGAAAATCAGGTTAATGACTGGCAATGAATATCCCAGCTACTTTATTCTTTCAAGCTTATTTATTTATTTATTTATTTATTTGGCTTGTTGTTTACAATAGCTTTTTTGTTTACAAAGAAATTCTACCTGTGTTCTAGCCTTGTGTAAAAATTCAGAGTAGAGCTTTTCTAAGGAATCAGGTGACTCCAATCTCTGATTCTTTTTTCCTCAAGCAGATACCTCCAAACTCCAAACTCATCAAATTGTATACATTAAATATGTGCAGTTACTTATATATCAATTACACTTCAATAAAGCTGTGTAAAATGTTTAAAAAATAAAACCACCAGAATGCACATGATTTCCTTGGGCTATTGGCTACCATAAAGCCTTATTTATTGTTTGGAGAGCAGAACTCTCATGATTGCTGTGTGCAGATGGTCAGGAGGTGTATGGAACAACCTTCAGAGGCATTGTTTCTGTGTCACAGTCTTGGTGAGTGATGCCACCCCCTTGTGCCATCCACAACCTGCATAGCTTTGAACAGTGGCACTGAGAAATAGCCATTGGAATTTAAAATGTGTCAGAGCAGTGTGGTTTGGGAAAGCATTCGGTGCTTGGCGCTGACCACCCTGGACAAAGGTTACCCTATCAGAAGATACCAGACATGTGAAAGTACATGACTGGAGTGAGTGGAGGGGAGTCCACTGAGTCAGAGGACTGAGGTACACAGTATGGGATGGGCCTGTCTCTCCACCCTGGTGCTTCTTGCTTTGTAGATGAGATTCCTTCCCGTCCCTGCAGTCATGGGGTTGCTTTCCCAGGCAAAACAGACAGCAGGATTTTGCAGGACTCTGCCACTGAAGCACTGGCTTGTCACTACATGACTATGTGATCTTGAGCAGTTTCCTTGTCTATCAAGTGTGAATGTTGGTGGTTTGGGATTACATGCAGTTCTCACACTCTGTGACTCCTTTTGGGATCAATGCAGGAGAGTTCTCTGCATTCTTTAAGCACATTGATTGGATGCTTACCATGTTCCCTGCCCAGAACTGAATTCAGGGGTTCCTGGACCTCACAAGGACACATCAAGGTGGCCCCCACGCCCCACCTGTCCTGCCCGGCAGTACAAATGTGGCACGGTTACGACACACTCAATTTCAGAGCTTGCTCTGATCTTTTGACCCTCCTGAATTATTTCCTCCACATTCCAGTAAGTCTATCTTCTTCTGTCACCTGGAACCTCCTTCTACTTCTCTCGTCACTGTCCTTCAGTTTTCATACTGTTACCAAACCAAGCATGTTTTTTCCATTGCACAGGATATCAATCACTGAAACAACAAGCTTTGCAGTAGAGAAATAGTTTTGTTTATATGGTGCCAAGTGAGGAGATGGGAAAACAGATCTCAAAGCCACCTGTCTGGAGGTAGGGTTAAGGGATATTTATGGGATAAAGGAGCAGGGTGGTCTGAGGTGTGGGGAAAGGGGATTGGAGATAAGAAAGGCGAGGGAATTGGTGGTCTGTGCAGGTGTAGTCAAGGTTCTTCATAGTGTCCTATGAAGGACATGTTCAGAAAATGGCAGCATTAGCATGATCCAAGGGTGGAGTTTTTGGCTATCAGATGTCAAAAAGTCACCCAGTGGACACTCACACAGGCCTAGTTGGATGTTTGGGGGCTTGAACTGGATAAGTGCCAACTCCAAATTCCTGAAAAACAGCTTAAGCAACTCTTACTATAGTGACCTATATGTCAAAGATATTTATATAGTTATATAGATAGATAGGTAAGGAAGTTAGTGGGAGTTTAGTCATGTATTGTTCAGCTACATTACTTTTAGCTATATAGGTTTAAAATCAACTAAAAGTAAGAGACTAAAAGCAAGCAAGGCAGGTGAAGTTTGACAGGCCCGATCAGCTTAGCCCTCAGCTTCAGTACTTTGATCCCAGAGAAGCCATCATCTCTTTTTCCATTTTCATGTCCATTTAGGGGTGTCCTCTATCACCCAAGTCTATATATTCTACATCTCTTGGTTCCACATGTATCTGTGCTCCATGTGCCTCCCCTTTCTAATGTTGAGTATCATTGAAATCTTGCCTTCCTTTGTGTGATTCTTTGGTGACTACCTCCTGCTTTAGATTCTAATCACCTTGAGGAAAGGTAGTGGCCATCGTGCCATTGCTTTTCTGACCTGTGCTTGCATCCTGGCCACAGGCCTGCTGTGGGGTCTCTTTCTTATGACCATAGTCTTCCCAGGCTTGTTTTAGCAAATATCGAGTAACAAAAAGTCAAAGACCCTGAGAATCCTGACTAACTAAATAAAAAGTGTCAAATTGAAAGCCGGAAGTATGAAAACAAATCCTGATATTGTCTTATTAAGTTTTGACATTTTAAGTAGAATTGCAAGATTCTCTATCACCGTGAGATTGTCAGGGTACCATTTCTGCCCTCCCTGAGGACACCTACCATATGTAGTATATATTTGTTTTAGTCCAGTTTCTACTGTGATAATTCTGCCTAACAAACAACTCCAAAGCAGTGGCTTTCAACAAGAAGCATTCGTTTCTTATTTATGTTCATGGGTCTCTGGGGTGGGTGTAGTTGTGTTGGGCTCAGCTGGGATTGTTTTGGGACTGTGAGAGGTACACCAAAGTCACATGGCAAAGGATGTAAATGTTTAATTCCATCTCATCCTATTTCATCCTAATATGTCACATTATTCTCAAAATACTTTGTTTCCTTCATAACATGTGTCACAGTTGAAATTTTACATTTATTTGTAAAAAATAAATTTTACCTTTATTTAGTTACTACCTGTAGTTTCCTCTGGATTCTTGAGGGTGTGAATTGTGATTTGGGCTCACCATTGTCTTCCAAACACCTAGGACAGTGTTCTGGACACTATCAGGTACTCAGTGCATGAGCAGTTATTGTTTGAATGCATTAGCATTTGTTCTGCCTAAAAAATCACCCTAAAGACAGAAATATATATTCGTGGGAATTATTGAAGTGACACTAAATGCCTGGTTTTGAATTTTTCAGAAATGCCCTTCCTACCTCCCCATTGTGAGCAGTGTGACCCTGTGGGAGAGAAGCGTCCCCCGAGCTGATGTGAGTAGGCAGAGTGCCACCGTGCAGGGCTCTTCTGCAGCGCCGTCCTTTCGGGTTCAGTTGCTTGATACATAAGAGGATTTGTTCCTGTGTATTTTTTGACCTTATAAAGTGAAGGATTTATTTTTTAAATTTCAAAATAAGAATGACGTTCAAAGACCATTTTATACAGAGCTTTGGATCCCTGTTGGAGAACCACACTACCTCCTTATGTACTCACAGGTTGTACACAGGAAAAACTGTATCAGTCATCTGATGAGTGACGATAGAAGACACAGTGCATTTGGTGTCTTTGCCGTGCCTAGATGTGGCACAACATGCAGAAACTAGGGTTTTATCTTACCACAATCCACACAAATGAACAGCAGAGTTCCTCAGGCAAAAGTTGCTTGATAGTGTTGCTTTTCTGTCCCACCTTTTACTCACTGGTTGCTAATGATCTCCTTTTGGTGAGCTCCAAAGTGAATGCTTGTCCCTACGACGTGCATATGCATCTCTATAAATGACTACGATGTACACATGGAGATGGTCGCCATGGCCGGCCAGTCCAGTTGTCATGGAGCTGTTGCTAGCGTCCCAGATTCCGTCCCACCGGAGCTTTGTTGACAAAGGCAGAAATGGGAAAAAAAGAACCTTTCAGCCAACACTGACTGGAATTTACATCCTAAGGGCTCTAATTGCCTTCATTTCCTTCCTTTTTACCACTAAGGGAATTGCAACTTCCTCTAAAAAAGACCGCACAGCTCAGCGACACTCATGAAATCACAAAGTCTCAAGCACATGAGAAAGAGGTGATTCTAAGGTAGACAGTTTTTTCTCTTATAGGCTCCCCATTCCAATACTTGTGAGCAGGGTTGCTTCAAATTACTGCTTGCAGGAAAGTAGCATGTGGTGACTGGAAATAGAATTGAAAAGTACAAATCACAAGATGTGGAAAATCACATTTTAAGATTAATGAAAAAGACCAACTGTAGAAAGGATGGAAAACATGACCTAGTAAGTGGAAGAACATGGGCTGGTTTTCTAACTGTTTGTACTCCATTAACGCAGAGAAACATGTCTAAATAAGGCGTCTGTGATATGCTGTTTTGTTAGTTATATTTCCATTCAGACTCCAAGTAATTGACCTCTTAAGGATCCGCACAACTGAGGGGTTCCATGTCTCCCATCTTGGACTGTGTTGGGCGGGGGAACAGTCCCCAGCAAAGTCACCTTATTGCTGCCATTCCAGTATTAATGTGCGAAGGCCCTTAGAAGGCAATGCTTCATGAAAGGGGACCACAGACCCAATCACTTGGCAAGGAGTCACGCAGGTGGCAATGAGTTGGACGTTGTTGTTCAGCTCATACTACAGAGATATGATGCCGCTCAGGTGTCCGGAACAGTGCCTCCTGGGGGCCACTCCTTTCCTCTGGCAGCCGAAACAGGGACTGGGGAGTGAACGCAGTCCTATGTGAGATCAGGGCTGGGCAGCAGCTGGCTACTCTTTCAAGTTGCTTCCTCCCCTCCTCTCTCTCTTTTCCCCCTTTCTTCTTCTCTGTGCTTTTGTGGCATTGGACGAATATAGAAACAGGGCTAAAAAATTTTAAGGTGTATATTTTTAAAAGACTTTCGTGGACCTGCTTAAAGCTCTGACTTGGGTGGGGCAAAGGCAATATATGTTACCTAAACATTTGTATCCCTATAATATGCTGAAATGAAGAAAAATTAAAAAAAAACTTTCATGTTATTTGTCATTGTTTATAGTATATACTGCATATTGACTATTACATATTTTATTACATATTATATATTATATTATATATTATGTATTGTACAGTAGATATTATATAGCACATATATTATATAATATATTAAATATCACATATAATATATTGCACATTATCATATACTACCTATCAAATAACCTATATTGTGTGTGTTTGCGTGTATGTATTCCAATATTATATCTTATATATTTTATTTACTAACATTGGTCAGAAAACTGTTCTAAAAGCAACAGTAAAGAGGAAATCTTTGCCTATCAATAGTGAAGAACAAATAATGGAAAATTAGTAAATAAATAATTAAGGTAATTAGAGGTAATGGAAACTGCAGTGCTGTGAAGATGGTAAACTAGTGGTAGTGCAGTTCAGGGTCACAAGGGGTGGGAGGAAGTTGCTGCTAGTGCTAGGATAAGGTGGGTAGGGAAGCCCTTTCCGAGCAGGTGATATTGGAGCCTGGTTGAGAACTATGGGAAGGAGGCAAGCAGGTAAAGTTCTGCTTGGCGGAAAGTTCTTGCATACTGTTCTAAGCAGAAAGACCAGGCAGCCTGAGACAGGCTGGGCCTGGCAGAAGGAATGTCAGTGCAGCTGACAGTGGAGAGTGAAGGAGTGGATGGAGGAATCGGCAGGGGTCAGATCACACTGGGCTTTGTGGCCAGTGAAAGGAGTTTGTCTTTTATTCTGGTTGCCAGGCAGAAGCCATAATGAGAGTTTATTTTCTAGCAAGGGATGAAATAATCTGATTTTCTTGTTTAAGAACTTCACTGGCTGCTGTATGCAGGATGAGTTGCTTGAAATCAAGAGGCTTTGAGTTCCACAGGAAGTTGTTAGGATATTCCAGTCAGGATGGGTGGTGGTTAGGACAGGGTTCATATTAGTTGAGTAAGAGAGAAGTGATCAGATTTTAGAAAAATTGGGGGAATGGAACTGATAGGACATTGTAATGGGTTGGATGTGGGATATGAAGAAAAAGGGTTTGGACTGAAAAAACTTTAGGGGGTGGTGCTGGAGGTGGTGGGGATTTTGAGAATAGATTTTTAGTGCAGATCATCAGTAGTTTTGTTTGGAGAATCAGTTGGAGGTGCTTAGTACATAACATCTCACTTGTCAGAACTTAGTCTCATGGTCAGACCTAGCTGCAAGAGAGGCTGGGAAACATAATCTGTTGTTAAGTGGGCACATTGCTGCCTCAAATTCCTGTAAAAAGGATGAGAAGAATGGATGTTGGGTAGGTGAATGGCATCATCTACTACAGAAATCAATAAAATATTATCCAAAAAATGGTTGCTAAAAAATTACTTCTTCAATGAGGATACATATATGATTATTTTCTAATGCATTGGTTTTATAATGAAAAATTATTATAAAAGAACTTACGTGTCCTTAACAGGAGGATGGATAAATGTGGCATATTTATACAATGGACTATTGCAATTAGTTTAAAGGAATGAGCTGAAGCTACACATGCCATCAAGGATAAATCTCAATAACTGGATGCTGAATGAAAAAATCAAGTTATAGAATTAGTTACATGTTCACTATGATAGATATTGTCATTTAGGGGATACATTTGTATACCTTTGATTTTCCCTCCCAGTTTAAAGTCAAATATTTGAGACACAGATATACAAACCAGACAGATGGTAGTAAAAATATATTCCAGGTTAAAACTGGATTGAAGGATTTGGTAATGTTACCAAAAAAAAAAAAAAAAAATCATATCATTCTTATGCTCACAAACCTCTAATGGGCTTCAATTTTGCTCACAATAAGAACCAAAGTCTTTATCATGGCCCCAAGGGGTACATGTTCTGAACCCCACTACCCTACTGGTCTTGTCACTCACCTTTTCTCTCTATCCCCTCACTCTGCTCAGCCCTTCAAGCACACCTCCCTCCTAGGCTCTTTGCATTTACTGTTCTATCTACATGGAATGCACCTTATTTTGGGTCCTCAACCTCACTTGCCTCAGAACCAGTGGACCTGGTCTGGCAGTACATCCAGACTTGGAGCTCTCCTAAGCAACTCATCAGCTAGTGCCCAGAGATTTAAAACAAGGGTGAATAATTTTAATGCCAAACTTCTAGCAATGAAAAAAAATTTAGTGTCCATATTTAATGTAGTTATATACTTATACTTATTATAATGTACTTATAATGTACTCCATTCATTAGAATGTTAGAAACTATATTATGATGGATCACTTTATCTCATTGATTCTATGAGGCATCCCATATAATTTAAAAATAAATAGGATGAAGTACACATCTAATCAGGATGGTTTCATACTATTTTAAATTAATATGTGAGGAAACATTATACACCAGGGTCCTTGTTCATAGCAATAGGTCTAAGCCACATTTCCACTAGTCTTTTTATTAAATTTCAAATATTGTGGCCAAGTTCTTGACAATTTATTTGAGATCATCATTCTTTTTATCTGGTAATGTGGCAGATGGAGATATCATATTAGAAAAAAGGAAGTGTGTTGGCTCAGTCATTTTCTTTAATTGATCAACTCAGCAAATATTTATTTCATGGCTGCTCCATACTAGAATGTAAGCTCCATACTAGAATGTAAGCTCCATGAGGGCAGGGCCTGGTTGGTTTTACTTTTTGTCGTATCCCTAGCTCCCAGAAGGATGCCTGGTGCATTGAAGATGCTCACTTGGTATTTACTGAATAAATGAATTAGTGTGTTGGGCACTTTTCAGGTGTTGGTGATAATCTGGTGAGCTTCTATTTCTGTTTTTCTATTGCTGTGTTTAGCTGCTGTTCTTGGAATGACCTTGCTTTGCTCTGGAAGCTTCCACATCTGCACCACAGATCCCACTGGTCTTCCGCCTGTTCCCCAGCATGTGGCCCCATAAGAGATGGGGTTTGCTTTGTTCCAATTTGGAGTCAGCCCCAGCTGTCAGGCGCCTCCTTGAGGCACAGGGGTAGATAGGGGGCTCCACCTGTACCTCCCAGTGAACTGCCCATTAATGCTACCGTTCTAGTGCTTGCTTTCCTGTTGCTCTGCTGGAGCCTTTCCTGACAGTATTGTTGGGAAACAATTGTTAGTATTTATAAAAAATAAATAAATTGCTTTCTGAAAAGTATGCTTTCAAATGGTTCCGTATTTCAAATACATAGTGAAAACAGTGATCATATATTAAATATATATGTTAAAATTATGTGCCATTGAAGGCTTACGTATAAAGTTGTGGTTTACCATGAGAGGAAGACAGAGGAGAGGTGGTCATAAATAGGTTAGTAACCTTAGAATGCATCTTTTCCACAGCAAGTATGAAAATGGACATTTTTAAGGAATGAACCAGGAGGCAGTCATGCCACAGGCGATCCAGGACTTTAAGAAGTAAAGTAAATGTAGGGCAGGTTAGACAACTTGTGGCCCAGAAAAGAGCATCATTTTCTCTGCAGGTGTGAGTTAGATTTGGACAGGAAGGCATTTTAAGATCTTCTATAAGAGAGTAATTTGGGAAATAGAGTGTCTTCATCTCAGCATGACAGAGTACTGAGGTCATTCTCTATCTCCTCTGTGATTTTAGCAGGGGATTAACTCCTGCTATGGCTGAGATGGTCTGGAGACACCTTTTATATTCAACTAAGTGCTTCAGCAGGCATTTAAGTATGGCTTCTGAAAGATTTTAGAAATGTTTGGCTTTTCTAATATCCAACATGAGCACCTAAAAGAAAAAGTGCCCATTCACTTTGGTGAAACTACTACTGGTTGGCCCAGATGATAGCTGGCAAGTCAGTGCCTTGCAGAAATGATACCAGGGACATATCTGCATACTTGGGGGAGATCCTACTAGAGCTTCCTCTTGTCTCCAGGAATTTGCTCTGCCTAGACTCATAATAGAGTGTAAAACTGGAAAAGGTTGCTTTTCAGAGGTGGAATCATAGGCATAGAGTTATGGATAAACATTGTAGGTTGTGGTTTCTAACAGACTTATTTAGTTGTCAGGGTTAAATTAATTAATAAGTGTTACATGTTTCATTCATTTGGCAAATTGTATTAAGTACAATATATACTAGGCATTATTTTAGACATATAGCAGTGAATAAAACAAAAGACCCTGTCCTCATGGAGTTCCCATTTCAGTGTGGGAGCCAGATAATAAACAGATAGGTTATATGGCAGTAAGTACTATTAGAGCAAAAGCAGGATAAGAGAATGGGGGCATGTGACTTGGTTGATGTGTGTTAAATAAGATTCTTATCTGCAAG